AAGCGATTGGTTTATACCAACGGCTTCCCATAATTCATACTTCTCCAATTCACTCTCGTGTGGTCATATGTGACGTCATGAGATGCGGTGCGATTTTCTCTTCTCGCGTCTTATATGCACGTGTTTATCGTTGCTTAGAAATCATCTATGTAAACAATGACAGACTATCATCACTGTCTTGTCCGTATATTGCTTAATATGTTGTTATTGACATCTTTGATAATAGCTTATATAAGCCGAAAACTTAGATTGTATTTAAAAAATATGGATCGGTATTGTGAATTTCTTTCTTCGTTCAACGATAATTTTATTAAACTTATCAGACGTTATGAAAAAAATTACATAAAATAAATAGACAACACTTGTCTATACTATTTAATGAAACGTATGAATGAAAAAATGCTGCCTAAATACACACAATATATATATATATATATATATATATATATATATATATATATATATATATATATATACAGCACCCACTGATTTAATTTTTAAAAGGAAAATGAAAAAAAAATGGTTGTTATATGTACATTTAGAAAAGAATTAGTTAGAAACTTTTAAACTATCTCCTGCGGAGGGCATTTGATTAGACGTTTGGCTTGTTCAGGTGTTTCAGATTCCTGAAGTCTTTGCATATTGACAGCATTGGAAGCTCTTCTGGCCGTCGTTTGCTTTGGGTTTTCATTTGCACCGGGCTTTCTTTTCTTCGCTACCGCTTTGGCTCTTCTAACCGCAATCTGGTCTTCAGTTGGCGGAGATTTCTTTTTGCGAATCATACTGCCGCCGTACGTGATGAGCAATAATAAACTACAAAATAATTCAAAATTGATCTTTGCATTTAAGTACTGCATTAATATTTAAGCTCACCTTTTAAAAGTCTAACAATAATTCTCCTGAAGCCACTTAATTTAAAAACAGTTTAATGTATGAAGATCCTTCCTTTTCGTACATACAATTATTTTTATTTCATGGCTGACTTTCGAATTTATTTCCAAGTTATAAAAATTGTTATCGTACAAAATATTCGTGAGAAAATCTCACGTAAAAAAAAAAAAGATGGCTGGAAAATGTCGGAGTAATGAAAACTTGCGGATCCCAAATTTCAAGATTTAGGATCCGGTATGTGTTGAAACTTGACTAATGCATGGAATAATAATGCAACACAAAATGTACTTAGAACAAAATGTATTGAAACACGAAAGTGTACACAATATTTACATATAGTCTTTTGTATATTCCTGGTAAGACCGTTCCTGGAGAATATGTTGACTGAGTCGCAGTCGGCCAGAGTCTCTGGTTGAATCTCTTGATTCCTGTATTTATCTATCCACCCACGAGGATAAAATGTGGCACAAGGCCGGTTTAAAGTGGGCATCTCCGAGCCCGTAGGCTCGGCCAAAAATATGGCTTTTCTGAAACCGCCTAGACGGGTTCAAGGCCTGTTTACCACCCCGGACGAAACCCTGCCTCTCGGCAAAGCCTCGTCCGGGTCCCTCACTGCAAAATGCAGAGAGTTCGACTGAGAGTGAATCTCATGATTCCCCCCTCTCTTCCCGGTACAAACCATATTTATATGGTCGGTACTCCACTATGCAAATTAGGTGGATCCTACCACAACAGTATGGAATGTTTTTAATTTGCTTACGGATTAGGCCTGATTACCATGCGGCGTCTAGAAGTACAGTTAAAAATGTGTGACCACAACCATTAATTCATATAGAATTATTTCTTAAAGGATGATTTTTAATGGATACAACTTTTTGAGTCGGTTATCTCTTTTTATTTATTTATTAAACTGTATACTTATTTATTTATTCCATTTTCTGACCTGAACATTCGAGAAATCTTCATACAAATATATGCGCCCTGCCGGCAGGATGCGAACCTGCGTCATCGATGGGAAACCCTTATTAAATTAGTCGTGCCTTGACCACTTAGGCACTTAGAAGATCCCGAGCAAATAAAGCTCAAATATTGCTTCTTTAAACACATATCTCTCCTGATTCTCGAAATGTGCATGTATGTTCTGTTTCTTACCCTAGCATAAACAAAGACATTTTTTAGACATGTCCAGAAATATATTTTCTTTATTAAATTTTTTTATCTTCTTACAGCTATGTTTTTGCAGTGGGTAAAAGAATGTAGCAAACTGTCTGTAATTATTCTTGTGACAAGCACTTTCGGCTAATTCATTAGCCATTTCTAAAAGGTAAAGGTACGTGTTTAATAAAAAAACTTTTCACTGTTTGCGTTCTATAGTGTATTGTGGAAACGTAGTCATAATTCTAGGCTACGCAAGAGAAGAGAACTCATGATTTTCGCTGTCTGTCAGTCAATAAATATATTTCGGCCATATAATTATTTATTTAAAAATATGATTCCAACTCGCGACATAAGAGGTCTCATGTTTGAGACCTCTTATGTCGCGAGGTGGAATCATATTTTTAAATAAATAATTATATTTATGCTCTACTTTTGTATCGAGCACTATTTT